CCATCCCCCCTGGGGGGTGATTTCTCGCTTTCTGTCTCTATGTCTCTCTCTGTCTGTCTGGCGAGCGCACACGCCCTATAGCGAAAATCTCTCCAAAAAGAAAAAAAAAAAGAATTATTTATTTATTGGGACCAGTAGTTAGTGTAATGACTATGTCACTGGACTCCCACGTAGTCGGCCACAGTTTGAGTCCTGAACCTGGTGGCCTAAACTCACGCTGGGCGTGTGTGTGTGTGTGTGTGTCCAAGATTCCGAGAGGAGAATGGGGAAGAAGGGATTGTGGTGTGGCCATCCCTGCTGGGGTGTGATTTCTCGTTTTCTGTCTCTCTGTCTGTCTTTCTGGCATGCGCATGCGACCTATAGCAAAAACCTTCCCCCCACCAAAAAAAAATTTATTTATTTCATTCCATTTGTTATTAATTTTTAATTTGACGAGAGAGAGAGAGAGAGAGAAAGGGAAAGTGAGAAAGCAAGCTGCCAGGTCTGGAGCTCAAACCGTGGTTGGCCATGTGGGAATCCAGCACCTTTAACCACTGTGGCACCTGCTGGCCCCAGAGGAAAGTTTTGAAACTGCAGCTTAGAGCATCGCTCCCCTGATAACGCCCCATGGCTCTCATAACCTTGCATGATCAGACTGGATCTGGCCACAGGGACTTCCTGCAATTTCCTAACCCACCATGGTCTTTCTCGTTTCCAGGATTGTACCTAAGCTCCCTCCTCCATTTAGATGACCTTTTCTCTACCATCCTTTTTCTTTTGTAGTTCCTGTTTCTCTTTCCAAACAGCACAGACATCACCTTCTCCAGGAAGCCCTTCAAGGTTTCCCCTGCCAAGCCTAACTTCTCATGCTTCCCTCTACATGGCCCTTCCCCTTACCACACTGAAGCTGTTGACTATGGGTCTAGCTCCCTGACCAGCTGTGGAAACTCGAGGACAGCGCCCAGAGTCACCTGTAGCTGTGTTGCTGGCACCCAGTTTTCTCTAGAGAAGTTTTTCTACATGAAGACTTTTGTGCTGGTGGGAGAAGATGAACCATCCAGTCCTCAGGAAGCCGAGGTATGAATGGGGGCAAAAGGCTCCCTCTGTCTCTTTGGGGTCACACCTCCATGTCCCCCCACCCATGCCTGGACCTGACTGGCATACACTGAGACCTGCTCCTGGTAGGCCTGAGGGGGCCATGGACTGGTGGGGGAAGGGGCACCTCCCAGAACTGAGGGTCCCAGGCTTGGGATGCTCTGCCTCCACACTGATGCAGAGACCATGGGCCGGGAGGACCCAGTCAGCATGCACATCAGCCTCTCTGCCTCTCCTGGAAGGCCGGACGACATACCGCCACACGGGGCAGGTGCCTCTGCTCTTCAGGGCCGTAGATCCCCGGAGGCCGGAGCACACACGTCCGAAGAGTGCCACCTCCTAGGATACAGGGGAGGGTAGTCAGGGGCCTGGGGAGCAGCAGGCCATCTGCATCTCTCGGTCCTAACCTGGACAGTTAGGCGGCAAGGCTAGCCTTTGGGGTGTCCTCAGTCCTTGAGTTATTCTCTCAGTCAGTTAGTCATTTAGGAAGCACTGCTCAGAGTCCACCCCACCCCCCCATCGCTGGGTTCTGAGACGGATACCGTGAAGAATATAAGGATGCCTAAGAAATGGTCCCTGTCCCCACAGTGCTCCGGAGGCAAGTCCTAGATGTGAATACCTGCACGGTCCCTGAATTAACAAGCCCCTGACAGGTGATCCGCTTTGACTCTCAGAGTCTGACTCGGCTCATTTGACAGAGGCGCCCAGACCCACACTCCCTCATGCCCACCGCTCTTGTTCTTCCCTTCCTGATCATCAGTTACGTAGGACCACGCTCACTCTCAGAGCGGTCCCGCTGTGTTCCTCGTGCACTGAGGATTTTTCCCTTCAAGGCAACCCTGTGAGGTGGGAGCCGTTACTATTGCTGTTTTACAGATGAGAGAACCAGGGTTCAGAGACGGGCTCTGCTTACGGCCACACAGCTCGGCATGGTGGAGCAGAGAGGAGACCAAGGGGCACCCCTTTCCATGAATACTGCTGCTTCTCAGGAAGCAAGACTAACAGCAGACTTTGGCTTTTGGCCTCTCTGCCTTGGTTTCCTCATCTGGAAAACAGGTGCCTTGTAAGCAATGGTGGCTGTCTTTTTCTAATTTATTGATTTTGTTTATTTATCACTCGTATTTTCTAATTTGCTATAGGGCATGTGTGCTCACCAGAGAGAGACGGGGGGTAGGAGGGTGAGAGGGAGTGAGAAATCCAGCTGCCAAGTCCAGAACTCCAACTGCAGTCAGCCATGTGGGGGGTCCAGTGCCTTGACCACCATGCCACCTGCTGGCCCCAATGGTGACTGCTTCAGTTTCCAGATAATCCGTGGAGAAAGGAAAGGGCTGGAGCCTCCACATGAAAGCCTGAACGTCCGTTCTGCTCTCCCTGGTTTCTCTCAGCAGAGAACCCAGGCCATGATAGAGCCCCCACGAGGGGGCCCCATCAGTGAATGTATCTCCCCTCCTTAAGTCTTGGGAATACAGCTTGTGGGGCTGCCACAGATGACTCTTTTAAGTCCTGTCTTTAAGAACACCTACAAAATTTCCAGTTTATTCCCATAATTCATGTGTGTTTAGGATTTTTAAAAGGTATTTAAAATGTCTTATTTTGGGGGTCAGGAGATGGCATAGTGGTTACATCACCGGACTCCCACATGGCCAACAGTGGTTCGTGTCCTGGACTGGGTGGCTTAAAACTCACGCAGGGTATGTGTGTGAGCTTGCCCAAGAACCTGGGAAGAAAATGGAGAAGGGATTGCAGCGTGGCCATGCCCCAGGGGGTGATTTCTTAATTTCCCTTTCACTGTCTCTATCTTTCTCTGGCAAGCACACCCACCCCAAGGCAAAAACCTCTAAATAAATAAATAATAAAATGACTTATTTTGTAGGTTAATTGACTCCCAGCCCCAACTCCTTAACTGACCTAGAGTCTCCCGGGACAGCTTCCTTCCTGTCCACTGCTACTCCAGTGCCCAGGGGACTGCCCCTCCCCCGCCACCCTCTCCACAGGAAGTCCCATCTAGACTGTACCCTGTGCCTAACAGGGCACCCTTTGGGGAGCCCCCCACATCTGTAGGAGGTCTTAGGGGAGAAGTCACTCTAGAAGGTGGTCATAGGACATTCTCACCCAGGAGTAACTCTCAACATCATTGACACCAGGACCTAGAATCCGGAAGCAGCCTTGACCCTGTCCTTTCTAAGTTCTGGTAGTCATTTTTCTGGAACTGTTTTCCAGAAGTGATCCCCCATCTTTTAAGTATAAGTTTCCTTTTCCCCATAGATTAGCCAAGGCCTGTGTCCCCAAGTCATGAGTAAACACCTTAACTGTTCCATCCTCCAACGCCCCTCCTAAACACCAAGTCCCACTGCACTGCTGTAGGTTAAAGGGGGACCCCAAAAGGTAGGCCCACACCCCAGAACCTGTGACTATGACCTTATTTGGAACATGAGTCTTTGCAGATGTGACTAAGTTAAGATCATCCTGGTATCCAGGCAGCCCTAAGGCCGGTGACAGAAGTCCTTATGAGAGTCAAAAAGACAAAGGGGAGGAGAAGGCCATGTGAAGACGAGGCAGCCACAAGTCCGGGAATGCCTAAGGCTGCCAGAAGTTGGGAGAGACAAGGCAGGATTCTCCCAGGGGCTTCCGGGGGGCAGGCAGCCTAACTGACATCTTCACTTCAGGCTTCTGGCCTCCAGCATGGTAGGAAAGACACTTCTATTTTTTAAAAACAATATTTTATAGTCTATTTATTTATTTACTTTTAAAGTTCACTATAGAGCATGTGTGCTTGCCAGAGAGAGAGAAAGAGAGGGAAAGTGAGCCATTTATCCCCTGAGGGGATGGCCATGCTGCAATCCCTTTTCCTCCATTCTCCTTTTGGGATTTTGGATGTGCACATGCACACACACACACACACACACAGAGGCCTGGCCTAGCGTGTTTTCAAGCCACCGAGTCCAGGACTTGAACTGTGCAGTCAGCCATGTGGGATCTAGCCACCTTAACCTCTACACCACCTCCCTCTCGTTTTAAGCCATCACATTTGTGGTAATTTGTCATGGCAGACACAGGACACTAATACCCAGAGATGGGACGACACAACCACAGTCCTCTGTACCTGGTCCAGGGCCGTCCAAGTTAGAGAGACAGTGTCGGGGACCGGCTCGGAGAGTAGGGAGTGGAAACCACTCAGGGTGACCAGGCTGGCCTCCTGGAAGGCACGTATCAGGTGAGCTTTTGTAAACGGCCTGCGGCTAATTTTAACTCCAGGTCACCTGGCCAGGTGGGGGAGGTCGGACTGCAGCTGATGTTGGTGGCGGGCAGCCACATCACAGAGGGAGGGGCTGGGCCAAGGTATCCATGACTCTCTTGACCATGAAAAGCTGGGGACACTCATATAAATAATTCTCAGCCAGAGGATTAAGTGTCTGGCATGTAGCCTGCTGGTCTGGCCAGAGAAAGCTCCGGGTAGAGAAGAGAATTCGACTGCACAGGGCGAAACCCCTGGGGAAACAGCTGGACGCTCCCACTGGGCCCTAGGGTCCAGGACTGTCTGGCCAGGGTGATAGGGGGAGGATTTTAGGGGGAAAAAAGCCCATGCTTAGGGACCTACTCAGGTGTTAAGACTCCCCTGGGGTCAAATTCCACCTGTACCAACTAATACTTGTGTGACCTTGGGCTATATCAGTTAATCAATCTCAGTTTTCTTACTCGAAACTGAGGATTATAATTTCAAACATCCCTTGCTCTCCAAATCCTATTGGCTCCCAAATTTAGAACTGGATATGAATATCATCAGGAAGAAATTTACCTGAGGGCTGGCTCCATGGCCTGGTGGTTAAGGGAGTCAGGAGCCAGATTCCGTGTGTGTGCCTCAAATCCTGACAGGATAGAGGAAGGGAGTAGAGACTGCAGCGTGACCACGCCCCTTGGTGCCTTCTTCCTCCTCCTCTGGTGAGCACATGTGCCCTCTGGCAATTATTTATTTTTTTTGGAGAGATTATTTTTTGTTATAGGGCGCGTGCGCCCGCCAGACAGAAAGACAGAAAGCGAGAAATCACCCCCCAGGGGGGATGGCCACGCTGCAATCCCTTCTCCTCCATTCTCCTCTTGGGATCTTGGGCACGCACGCACACGCGCCCGGCCTGAGTTTTAAGCCACCGGGTCTGGGACAGGAGCCCCGGTTGACTACATGGGAGTCCAGCGACATAGCCATTCCGCTAACTGCTGGTCCCAGGCAACATTTTTGAAAAAAGAAAACAGGGTCCAACAGGTGGTGTGGTGGTTAAGGTACTGGACTCCCACAAGGCTGACCACAGTTTGATTCTCAGAGCTGGCAGCTTGAAAATCACTCAGGGTATGTGTGTGTGTGTGTGCCCAGAATCCCAAGGAAAGAATGGAGGAGAACGGATTGTGGCATGGCCATCGCCCTTCAATAACTGCAGACTGTTCATATTCCGTTTTTCTTTATAACCAGAAGAGGCAATATAATAGGACGGCCATGACAGATTTTTCTGGGAAGTCACTGAAGGTCAAGCTGCGGGGCCTCTCCCTTGCACGGCCTTTCTCATTCCATATTAGGTGTTCTACTTGTTTATCTAAAGAGGACCCCTGAAACTGGATCCACTTATATGCAGCAGAAAAAAGAGCTACACTTGGGTTAGGCCAGTTTTTTCCCCACCAGATGCAAGCAACATGAAGGTAGAGTCTGGGCTCGCCTTCTTCTGGCTGTACCCCTGGTGGGGAGCTGGCACATTCCAGGGTCTGGATCTGCTGAACAGTAAGTGGTCTTGGCCCTGGGAACTGCCCTTTGGAAAGCAGTCAGGCCTCAGACAACATAAGAGGACTTCAGAAAGTCTGTGGAAAAATGGATTTAAGCAATGAGTTTATTTTGGTGCAAAACACTTGAAATCCATTCACGGACTTTTCCCATAATATATTTTCCACAAACTTTTTGAAGACTTCGCGTATGAGCTAAAAACCAAACCACACCTGTATTTCGGGAGGCTGCAGCAGGCAGGCACGTTGGTGCGAGCAAGGCCCCAGGATACTCACCCGGTAGAGGCATCCCATTGGCCATGAGGGTCAGCTGGTCGGCAATGGCTTTGGTCCGTGAGTAGTGGTCCATGTGCTGTCAGAGGACAGGGAGAACAGAGCCACCAGATGGGGTCAGCGACGCGGTCAGCAGTGCCTACCCAGTCAGCCCAGCCCCAGGCCGCACCCTCCCTTCAGACCACAGGGTTTGGATTCTGGGCACACCCACTGGGAAATGGTCAGGCCCTGAAGCTGCCACCCTCTTCTCCTTCTGGAAGGGAGGACAATGTGGCTCCTTCCAGAACTACAGGAACAGAGGAGCCCTGGGCTCAGAGCTGTAAGACAACCAGGGAGCTCCTGTCAGGCCCACATGCCTGCCCGGCCATGCCGATGCTGGACACGCGTAGGATGAATTATTGATGTCAGTCGTCAGTGTTCACATGGTGTTTTCACATCCCTCATCTCGTTTCCTGCTCTCCACAGCCCCACGGTGATGGTGTTGGTATGTCCAGAGGAGGGAGGACACAGAGGCTCAGAGCAGGAACGTGACTGGCTCAGAGTCACATGGGGAGAAAGTGGCCAGGGTGGAGATCAAGGCCAGGTCTGTATGATTTCCAAGTCCTGCTGCTGACATGGCCAGTGAACACTGGACAAGGCTTGTACCACCCAGTCTGGGGGCCCTTCCTGCTGGGACTCTCCCTGAGTTGTGAGGCTGATTCTGGTTCTACCCAGCCCTACCCTTTGGGCTGTGGGGTTCAGGTCCACCGGCCCCACCCACCTCTCCTGGAAGTCAGGTACCTTCTCTAGTGGGAAATACGGCACAGAGTCCTCATCGCCCTGCTCTATGGGCTTCCCGCCGAATGCGACGTTGACGGTGCTGGTGTAGACGAGCCTTGGAACCCGCCGGCGGACACAGACTGCGGTGACAGGTGCATACAGCAACCACCATGTATACACACAGAGAGAGACACACACACAGGCCAAATGTGAGCAGGGCATTGGCTGAGGAGGTGCCCACAGGGCCTTCCGCAGGCAAACCCACCAATCTCTACCCATCTCTGACACACATCCTGGCCCTCAGGACTCTCGGCATCCAGAGCTGCTTAACTTGAGGTACATGTCAAATTGCTGCTGCATGGACCCCTGGGGGCAGGCCTGCTCACGCTTCCTTCTCAATGCGGCTTTTCCCCCTGAGATACTTGCCAGGGCCAGATC